GAGACCACGTGAACTAAATAACTAATTATAATGTGATCTAAATCAATATTTACAAAGACAAAAGGTTCAAAAACAAATGGACTAGAATCCAGAAAGCTGGAATTATTTGATACGAGGATTTTTTTTTCCAAAAAAGAAGTAATGAAATTTTATTAAAGACATTTAGGGGCATCGCCTAGTATATACAGCAAATAAACATAGAGATAGAACATGAAAAGAGGCAGCAACTGATGGTGCTTGTCCATTCAAAGAATTATCAATGATGTTGAGCTTCCATTCTCCCAATTGATTGTTCCATCCCTCAAAAGCTCTTTGGTACTTAATTTCCAGCCATGGATGCCTAAAGATGCACAATTTATTTTTATTTTTCTATGGTAAGAAAAAATCTATTGAAAAACAAAATAAAGTATATCCACTGGATAGATTGTCCACCAAAACAATACATCAACATAACGGGAAGAGCAAAACAAGATTAATTGAATTTCTCTCACAATTGGAACCCCAAAAACAGATTAGACTGTACAGGTGCTTTCCAAAACTCGAAGACACAGAAGCCCAGAGTTAAGACAAAAATCATACTTTACCCCATAATACCTCCATCCCCACACCACTATAATTCACAAAAATCTTATTACTCCTCTCCAGCCAAATTACAAAAAGTTGCAGAGAGTATTTATCTATAACCATTATAATTACACTTTTCAAAAAACCTACGTCATCCAGAGAAGACATGGTTAGCACAAGATGACAGCATTGAAATATCCGCAAACAAAGAAAGAATATATCGCACTGTTTCAGATTTATTCTAAAGAAACTAACTCCTACAGCTGGGAAAACTAAAATAATGTAACTAATGAGAATGGAACACTACAAGGAGGCCATCCGGAAAAAAAGAGATTGCAGAGGTTGAAGTATTTTTTGTATTTGCTACTAGCTTATCCGTTTTTACTTCTGTGTAATGAATTCACATATTGGTTAATAGAAAAACTTATTGTTACCTGAGCCATTCGCACCAAGGAATCATAGACAGCAGTGTCACCATGGGGATGAAATTTTCCTAGAACCTGCATCAAAGCATTTTCTATCTTAATCGTAAATATAAATATTGTGGATTCATACAAAAGAAACAGAAAGCCTCTGGTTACTAACCTCTCCAACAACTCTAGC